AAAGGACATCATCATGGATGTGTCCCCTGCCCGGCAGGCTTCGCAAACTAGGTGCAGCGGCAATTAACGAACCGCCCGCCCAGATCTTGGGGGCCAACGGGTCTGTCTTCTTGGACCTGTGTGATCGGAAGTCCGAAGACATGGCTTCTCTTTGAAATTTGAAGAAAGAGTTCAATGCTGTCAATGTTCACTTCCTGCATTTGCATGTTGCGACACATGATGGGTGAAATGGGTTCTCAGGATGTGAACGAGAACCCACTGTGAAATGAAGAGGCGCCTAAGCTCTTGGCCCAAGCCAGAGGGACTGCGTACTGAGCAACTTGAACAGCACGATGAGCAAGCAAAGCCGACTTCGGGAGATGTTTGTTCACAAGTCGGCATGTGTCGGTATACAACCAACATCAATCAGCCATCCCATTAACCGACGTACAAGTCATTCACATTCTTCGGCTACTAGTCTCAGCTGGAGCTGTTCTTCGGATTGCTTCAAGATCTACCACTGCAGGCTGCAGTGGATGACAAGATGTGTTCAGATTCGTGTTGAGAACTAAAGTGATCTTAAAGAGGTTGCTGTTACTGTTCAAGTGTTGCCACTGCTCGAGGGCTTGCGGGTCTTCGAATGAGTAGTGTCTGTGAGACTTGAAGCCGTGTCTGGCGAAGTTGTATGCCAGAACCATGGATTTGCCTGAAGGTGCGAAAGACATGGAAACAGTTCGCACGTTGATGGCCGGCCTTAAGGCTGGACCGGCTAGTTTGTGCCACATCTTTCTTGTCCCATCCACACGGAGCTGTCTTCTCGCTGACATTGATGCTATGCTCCTGCTGACCGAGCCAGATTCCGTGCCTACAGGCCCCGCAGCACTACGACAAGGCAATCGTACTGAGAGAACGACTGCACTTGTTTGCCACGTAGAGGATTTCATGTGAGGGAGGTGTTCAATTGGCAGAGTGGCAGGTCTTCAAAGATGAGTGTGTATACACATGCGCCTGCGACTTAACAACTCAGTTTCTTCTCAGAGAATCTGTTTGGTCGAAAGGTCGCATCGCAATCAGCGTGCAACAGCTGAACTGCAGCTTCAGGACACACCATTCTCGGAGGGTGGTTTGGCAGTCAGGCGCTCAATGCTCATCGCGACCTGTCTCCGTACCGTGGTCAGCAATCTGGCGGCTGCCACGGGCAGTAGAGAAAGGATGAGAATCTGATTGGTCTTGACAAGCAACGTCGGCTTCCGAAGCTTTCAAGATGGATAGGTCAATCTGAGGGATCATCGCCAAGGTGAACTTGCGGACGTGGCAGGGTGTAGCTGCAGGTCCTGAATCGGTTGGTGTGTCTCCTGCTGATATTTCGTGTGTCACGCATACGTTGCAGAAAGCATCAGACACTGGCCTGTGCAGCAATCGTTGCCTGGATCATCTGCAAGACGAACCTTCGCCCTCCCTGCCAGACATGATCGAGTTGGACATGACAAGATCACAGAGCAAAGGCACAAAGACACTGTGTGGAACTTGGAGTGCAAGAGATGCGCGTGCCAGTGACCATTGCAGGTGCTATATACCTCCTCCAGAAGTTTCGGCGGCAAGAAAAAGAAATGCCAGGCTGCGTATCTCCGCCCCAGTGACCACACTGTTTCCGGGCCTGGGCTTTGTTCTCGTTGGCAGATACCCAGCAAGAACCGACCAAGCTTGCCATTGGCGTCCGCATCCTGGTGTTCGGCCATGCTGGCGCTGTCCGGCATGACGTGGCTTCGATTGGGCGGAACGTGCTTCAGGTCGAAGGCGGGTTCTTGCCAGACGACAAGTATGAGACAATCAAGGACCGTTGACTTGCGCTGACCTTCGGATCATGGAATTGGGCCTGTCTTCCATGTTCCAGCTCCTTTACCGAGCAGGAGTACTCCCTTTTAGTTGCTACAGCGGGCGAGCGCATTACGTTGCCATACCCCAGCTCGGAGCTTACCGCTCTTGTGTCTGTTTCTGTCCTGCTTTCCTCAGACGACAGCCTCCGGCCAGCCAGGTGAGGACCTGCCGATGATTGTTTCCAGTGTGTGCGAGGCAATCGTCGCGCACCAGGCTTGTTCCTTTGGCAGATAGACCTAAGCGACAGAGTTCAATCGAGACCGGTCCTTCTATGCTGTTGCATGGGCGGACGTCAGCCGAAGCATCGCAGACCTGCCGTGGCCGTTTACACTTTTTGCAGGTCTCCAAGGCCCCTGTTTCCCGGGCCTGCCGCAATGGTGGCAATTTCTGGCGTAACCCCGGCTGTGGCCGGCACCAGTGCTTCCTCCGAGCCATCAGAGAGGATCTCTTTCGCAAACCAGGCAGCAGGGGCAGCAAGACGGGTGAGTCATAACGAGCATTGACAGTCTGCAGTTTGAGGCCTGAGCTCTAAGCATAGAACATGGTAAAGGCAGAGGCATCCGAGAATCAAGGCCGAGTTGATTCTCACTCTGGTGGGCTACGCTGCAACTATCCTGAATCATCAGATGTGTTGCTCTTGAGAGGGCACTTGGTTGCTGCAATCTGGTCGTGTAAGATCGTGCAAGGTCGGCGTGGGAAATGTCTGGCGCTTTCCGTACCTGACGTACACGTATGGTGGAGGCCAGGATGCATGCACTCGGATGCCGTTAGCGAAGTCCCTCGATTTTTCTGGCAGGGGCCTTCCTGATTCCCTACGGTCTCAGCTTGCTTCTGCTGGGCATTCCACTCTTCGTGCTGGAACTGGGCCTTGGGCAGCTGACTCGACGTGGAACGCTGTCACTCCGACCTGTCTTCTCGCGAGCAAGATGCAGATGTGTAGGGCCTGTGCATTGCATTGCTGACAGCTTCTTTGCAAGGGGAATGTGGACCAAGCTTGGCTTGCCACGATGGCAGGGGGTCGGTGCGCCGCGCAGAGATCCCTCTTGAGCCCTGATGCGCACTGCCGATTTCTTCAGGCGCAATGCCCTGTTAGCAGGCCTCGCAGCGATGATGTGCACCTATCTGGTGGGTTTGTACTACATTGTCATCCTTGCTTGGACAATCTTCTACCTGGGCAGGACTTCATTTCCAAGCGAGTACAATAAAAGACCCTGGGCAGAGCCTGAGGACTGTGGCTGCCTTGCCATCGGGACATCTGCCATGGAGCGATGTGGCTCCCGGGGTGATTTGCCTTGGCAGATTTTGCGGAACTCTTGTAGACTCATAGACCTTTTCCGGGACAGAGGAGTGGAGCTAAGTGCTTGGAGAAATAGTCAGTGTTCGAGACTTGCAATCCAGGTCACTTGCCCTACGAAGGATCTCTACCTGCACCAGGCTTGACTGCAGCGCATCCTGCACATGTGCAAAAATATCCCAACCAGCTTAAACCACCTTCGAACTCGATGCTTTGCCAGACAGTCGCGGACAGCGACTACCTGGTTGACAGCATCACAGGTTTGCTGAATTCCAGCTTTATTGCGAGCACATGGTGCCCGGCGAAATCCGGCGACCAGCCGCCTGCGGAGTACGTGCTGCACTTCGGGCTGCAGTTTCAATAAATTTGATCTTGCTACTTTGCCCGGTACAACTCCCGTCTCGGCGGCCACGTTTGCTCGTTCCGTCTGGTCAGGAAGACGCTACAGCCCACGAGGTGTCCAGGCAAGGCCTGAGACGGTTCGCGGAGAGCCATACCAAACCTTGATGCCCCCTGCAGCACGAATGGCGAAGATCTTCTGGGAAGAGCAAGCCTTGAATCAAAGCAGCGGATTGGACGAGCTCGGAGGCTTCAGTCTCAGTGTGGCAGATGGGAGCTTGGTTGCTTAGCGAGCCAGGCTTGAACCCCGGTCTGGTGGTGTCCCTGACCATTGCTTGGTTGGTGATTTGGCTGATTGCTCCTCGACCAGCATCAGCCCTGAGATGACACGGTTCCTGAGTGTTTTGGGCTAAGGTTTTCAAGGGCGTGAAGTCCTCTGGCAAGGTTGTGTATGTCACAGCCACGCTGCCGTATATCTGCTTGGGCATTTTCTTGGCTGCGCGGCAGAAAATGGGCACCGAAGGGAGGGAGTGTGAGTACTTGCGATTATGGCAGCTGCGGTAGCTGCTGCATCTCCTGGCATCTACTTGAATTGTGTTGTAGTTCCTGGATTTCTGGGCTTACACGTGAGCCGTCAGCATTGGATTCAGATGCTGCCTTGATGATCAAGCGTGATGCCAATAAAATGGTTTGAAGGTCCGCGCACTGACGTTGCCAAACGCCTTTGTTGGCCTGAAGTTCCTATTCGAAGCTGCACCTTGCATCAAGATGGTCCTTCAACAGAGCAGTTCAGAGACCACTGTTAAGATTCAAGATGGCCGCCTCAGTGCCACGACGGGTCGATGACAGCTGAAAGTGATCTTCCTGCCTAGTTTCTGAGAGCCTCTGCGCTGAGGACTTTAGCCATCTCGCAGACCCGCAAGTCTGGATCCACGGTGCTGTGCAGATCTTCTTTTCCTTGGGCGTGGGCTACGGGTCCATTGTCGCTTTCGGTTCCTATGGAAGCAAGAGCGGGAACTTTGTTCGGAGCCGAGCTTTGCCCGCTGCCGAGTTCAGGCTAGCCACGATGTTTTCCGAGATTCGGTTGGTTCTTGACCGAGGTCCGAGATGCCACTTCTGTCGCTCGCCATCGAAGAGCATCGTGCGTGTGCCGGGTATGCAAGGCACTTTGATGCTGTCGGTTCAACAGATCCGAGGTTGCGATCACCAACTGTGGCACCTCAGTCCTGGCCGCTTGTGTGGTGTTTCCTGTTCTGGGGTTTCTCGCTCAAGAGTTGCACGAGCCGCTCGGCACCGGGACATGCAGGGACTCTGGGGGCTGTTATCGGTATGAGTCCGAGTTCTGAAGCCATTTCCGGCCAAGGACGGACCCGTGCATCTCCGCGGACAGCCTGGATAGCTTGAAGAGCATTGGCTTGTCGGGAACAGGACTCTCCATGGTCTCTGTGTGTGCGTGTGTCTGGTTTTTGGCAGTCCGATGTGTCCGCTTTGATATGAGAAAGAGCGCAATGCTGTTCTGTTCTCCAGGTTTGCGAACTCCACTCTGTAGAGCGTATACTGTACAGTGCAAGGACTTGCCTTTGTCGCTTTTCCAATTGCAGTGTCACAGATGCCCGGTAGCTTCTTTTTCGCTCCCTGGTCGGACAACCTCAGAGTGTTGAAGACAGCTCACTCGCACGCTGATTATGCGGACGCAAGGTTGTCATGCTTTGTGCTTGGTCGAAGGCTATACTCTTCTTTTTTATGATGTTGCTGCTGGGCATCGACTCGCAGTTTGCATACATCGAAACATTAGCCTCTTGTCTGAGTTACTGAGTTGCAGCCTCACAGTGGCCAGTTTTCACGCATCAGACCGAGATCTAGGCCACCGTTCTGGCTGATGCCGGATGGGGGGAGCGACTCCCGCGTCCAGCTCTGGCAGGACCGGAGCTTTCTTTTGCTGGGCTTGCTGCGTCATATACCGTCTTTGGTACATTGACTCGTAGATATGATGCATGTGACCCTCGTCCCCCTCTCTCTATCCGTCCATCTGTCCGTCTATCTATGCATCCATCCATCCCAACGTCTATCTGTCAATGTATTCTCAGGTTGATTTTCGTCTCCCTATCTCTGCAGTCAGCTTCAAGCCATTTTCTTCTACAGGATTGATCTGCTTCGTCTCCTATCTGATTGGGCTGATCTTCGTCTCCAGAGCGGGGATCTATTTCCTGGATCTGCCCGGTACCTAACGGAGCAAGACAACTCAAGTGCGGCAGGAATGTTGCAAGCTCAGCGAGAGGTTTGACAACTACGTCAGCATCTACGTCATGTTTGCCGTGGGATGTCTAGAATGCGTCGGTTTGCATCACGGCAGCAAAATCCATCATTCTCGTGACAAGGCACAGATGTTCAAGGAGGGCCTATTTGTTTGGTTTTGTTTTTTTGCTTTCTGTGTTTGTTTGTTTTTGCTCCGGTTCCTTGTTTCTTTCTAGGGAAAACCCTTTTTTCCTTACATTTTGGAAGCAATTCGTGCCGCACTTGTAGGCTTTTCCTAGGAAAACCTCTATTCTTTCATATTCTTTCCATATTTTCGAGAGGAAGGAAGGACGGACGGAAGGACAGGAAAGGAAAGGAAGGAAGGACGGGAGAGGCATCAACAATGATTAAGTAGGCATCAGAAGAAGTAAATTGGCATCCAGAACAAATCAAAGCATTTGAAGCTTCTCAAAACCGCAATTTGGAAGAGAAACCAAAAGAAGAGACATGCAACAAGATGAAAAAGAAAGAAAGACACAACGAAAAAAAAAAAGAAATAGCTGAAGATAAAGCAAAAATGAACGAAAGAGAGAACGAGCGACAAGTAACCAAAGAAACAACGAAAGAGGCAAATAAGTAAATCAACTGAATGCATAAATAACGAAGAGAAAATTAATGAACGCACGAGCGAAATACCGCGCAATTAAAAGAAATAATTAAACAATGAAGAAACAAGGGAAAACACGATAGAAGGAAATGACGAAAGACGGAAATGAACAACACACACGAACAACGAAATAATGAACATCAGGTGAAAAGCAGCACTGAACCAAACAACAGTGTATGTAGTTTACATGGACATTCTATGTACACACACATCGAGTGCGCGTGCGTGTGCATATATATATATATGGTCACCCCCCCCCCAAGATCTA